TACGTCAAAACGAACCATGGGCATAGCTTTACTGTAGCCGCTAGAGGGCGCTCTCTACTGTACCTGTAGTGTATTAAAATGTCCGAAAATTTTTTCTTAGTGCAATTTTTTACTTTTTGAATAAAAAAACTGATCCTTCGCACTTTTTGAGATATTTCGATTTTTAAGGTTCAATGCATTTTTAATTATTTATGGGAGTATAATAGTTTTTTTTACGTTTTCGATTTGGGCATTACAAGTAGTTAAGATGATCGTTTAGATTGTGTTTTTAAACTCAGCAATAATTCCTAACTCCAAATAAACACAAAAAAAACAGAATATTAATTTGTTTAATTTTCCAATATTATTTTTAACAAATTAAATTAATTATTTACAACTAAAATGCTATTGGATAGTTAGGATAAACATACAAAATCTAAAGTAGTTGCTCGAAATGTAAACCCAATTGTTCAATACACAATTCACATCTACAAATGATCGAACGTGGTATAGCATTATTCAAATAAGGCCTTATTTCATCACATGCATTCCTGATTCTGTCTATTAGCATATCTCTTGTGGTTACGGGAGTCTGGTACACTTTTTCTTTAAGAAATCCCCACACAAAGAAATCTAATGGATTTAGGTCAGGGGATCGTGGAAGCCAGGCGACTGGTCCTCCACGGCCGATCCATCTTTCTGGATAATTTTCGTCCAGCCAGTTTCTAACTATTCTCTAATGAGCTGGACAACCGTCAAGCTGGAACCAGGCCAATCTTCTTAAATCTAACATAACATCATCCCACATATTTGCATGTTCAGCCTTTAAAAATTCCAAGAAGGTCGCAGCATTTAACCTTGCAGGCAAAAGGTAGGGTCCAAATAGTCGATTACGGTAGATACCAATCCACACGTTCACACTAAATTCATGCTGAAAATTGCTTTCCCGAACTGCATGCGGATTTTCATGCGACGAAATATGTTGATTATGAAAATTTACCACTCCACGTCTAGTGAAGCATGACTCATCGGTCCATAAAACGTTACTTAAAAACTTCCTATTATTATCAGTTCTATCAAGAATCCACTGACAAAATGTGATTCTTCGTTCTCCGTCCCCTGGCTGTAGTCCTTGCACAGGTTGCAAATGGTAAGGACGTCTATGGTCATTTCTAAGAACACGGTGAACATGGCTTGCTGAAATTCCCAAGGCACCAGAAACTCTCCTAACACTTGTCGTCGGATCTCGATCAAACTCACGCAGGATCATACGGGTAAATCTGCGCTGACGAACATTTATGTTTTGATCCCTTTGGAGATGTCCAAAACCATTTTCAATTATTTGGCGTTGCACTCTTACAAATACTGAGCGAGTTGGATGTCGTCTGTTTGGAAATCTTCGTGCGTATTCTCTGGCTGCTTCTGCTGCGTTTCCATTTACAAAGCCATACATAAAATGATATATATATATATACAAAAAAAAGGTAAAAGAAACTAAACTTCGTGCATTCACAATTGGGAAAAACGTTTCAGGTTTCAACAGACAACAAAACTAACTGTCAACTAATTGATGTTTAACCTTATTCTGCTTTCAATTTCAAAAATATTTGCAGGCGCAGCCTACTTCTAAAAATTATCGAGATACTGACTTTTTAACGTTATTTTATCATAAATAATTAAAAATGCATCGAACCCTAAAAATCGAAATATCTCAAAAACGGCTAACTATAACGAAAATTCACAAGAGAGCTTTTTTATGTTGAAAAGTGGGAAGAATCAGTTTTTTATTCAAAAAGCAAAAAATTGCACCAAGAAAAATTTTTCTGTTATTTTAATACACTACAGGTACAGTAGAGAGCGCCCTCTAGCGGCTACAGTAAAACTATGCCCATGGTTCGTTTTGTCGTACCAAACAACCATTATATACCAATTTTCACTGATATACATCAAATATTGTTCGAAATATTTAAAAAAAACTATTTTAGAAAGTAAATTTAAACACCCTGTATTTCGGAAGCCACGCATTTTTCGACCCATGTTTATATAGACTTTATGCATTAATTTTAAAAGTTCTATCGAATCTTAAAGTTATGCAACAATAAACTGAAACACCCTGTATATTATCAAAATATTCATTGGTAATATTTTAAACCTATAACACCTTGCTACATTGATATTATTTGTGTTTGATAAGAAAAAAACTAAGATTTCAATAGTTGGGCCAACTGAAGTGGGAAGGGGCTTGTAGTATACGTCTATTTTCGAAACCTCGTTCGATTAAAACGACTGCGAGTTCAAAATGTTGGCAAATAAACTCTAGAAAATGAATCAACAGTAGACGAATATCAATCAATTGTAGCGAACTGACCGTCTTAAAAAATAGACGAAATGCTTGTTATTAGTCCCTAATACATTATTTAAAGATTCAGCATTGTATCTTGTATAGTTTTCAATAGTACTGTAATTGTTTATAACAGATTTGATATGCCTCCAACGTTCGCTTGACATTTGTCCAGTGTCAAGTATAGTGGTATAAAAATCCGGTAAACCAAGAGACGTCGTAGCGTAATGAGAAGTTTTGACGATTGCAGAACCGCAGGACGGAGGCTAGAATCCACGAAGCTCCATTTTTCTATATTATTTTTTTTAATTTGTAGCAATAAATGCTTTTTCACTTTATGTGTACTTTTATTGCGATCAAACAGATTATCGCACGCCATAGAGAATGTAAACTTGCAAACAGGAAACCAAGCGTATACGTATGATAGTAGGCGATGGACACATCCGCTTTGTTTTAAAATGTGTATAATAATGTATGTTTTTCGAATATCGTAGCGAATCTGTTCAGTTACGCAGATATACAAAATGATTTAATCTGTTTAGAAGAAAAAACGTAACCCTTCGTTTTTCGCATAAAAATAACAGTTATCTTCCAGAATGGTTTGTCATTCACGTCGGCAATGTAAATTCACGTATTTTGATATAAAATGTCGTTTGAACGACCCCTGAATATTTCTCAGTAAACTAGTAGCGATGGCCGGAAAACAGGTGTTTTGGGATAAACAACTAAAAATTCCCAAAAATTACTTGACCAATCGACTCCAATTTTGTTGTGGTTATTTAGTATGAAGCCTATGGATATGAAGAATTTCAAGTAGTTGCGTGAAATTATCGTCGCAGAAGCAACAAGTGCCAAAACCTACTTTTTGCCTCCGTTTCCGGCTATAACGTTTTTATTATTAGTGGTATATTTTAACATGTTGTTTCATTCTGTAGGTCTCATAAATACCTAAAAATCTTATCTGAAGGGTTTTTTGTTTCTGGCAAGACTTTCCATTGACTCCCAAGAAACACGTTTTGTCATCGTTTGTTATCGAATAAAAGTTTCCCCACTTTTTACCCATTCTATGTTTTGAATACCCCTTTGAACAAATTGCATCAGTAACACCAGACTTTACAATAGTTTCGCAAACCAGCGGTATTTTCGTCTAATATGATCAGACTATAAAATAAGTTAATCACAAATTATACTAAGTGACATATAAATCCGAACACCCAGTTTAAATGGTTTTATTTTAATAAAAGTTGGTGAATGTATTTATCTTACTGTAAATAACAAGTGAAAAAATTTTCAGCCTTATCAGTTGGACATTCCGGTTTTTATACTGCTTTTTTTTAATTCACTAACGCTCTAAAAATGAATAATTCAGCCGCAGTAAAGAATCAACGTTGGTGGATTTTGGTTCTTGACATCCTTTACGATCGGTTACGATGCCTGGAGTACGGAGACCTGTACGATTTCGTCAACTTAGTGAGTTTGATAGGGGCCGTATAGTGGGACTTCGGGAAGCTGGACTTTCTTTTCGGGCAATTGCAATTAGAGTGCAAAAAAGTGTAGACACTGTGGTTAGGTGTTGTCAGGCATGGCTTCGAGAAGGCCGTACGCAAAGAGCAAGGGGCACTGGACGCCGCCGTAGAACAACAGACCGTGAAGATCGCCGCCTAAGATTATTGGCCTTAAGGGACCGTTTCTCCACTACCAGGTCCATTGCAAATGAATGGTTTGCAGAACACGGAAGACCTATTGGCATGCGAAGTGTTTACCGACGAATGAGAAGTTTTGGCTTGTTTTCATACTGGCCACACTGGGTCCTCCCTTTAACTCGAGAACACCGACGTAATCGCCTTGAGTGGTGTAGACAACGGTCACTCTGGGATCAGGAATGGTACAGTATTGTCTTTAGTGACGAGTCTCGATTTTGTTTAGGCATGCACGATGGTCGTGCCAGGGTTAGAAGGCGACGTGGTGAAAGGAGGAATCCACAGTTTTTTGTTGAAAGACATGTTCATCACACTGTTGGAGTTGTGGTTTGGGGTGCTGTAGCTTATGGTTTCAGGTCACCTTTAATCTTCATCAGAGGTAACATGAACGCGCAGCGTTATATCCACGAAGTTCTAGAACCCCATCTTTTACCCTATCTTGACACCCTGGCAGATCCAACTTTCCAACAAGATAATGCCCGACCACATGTTGCAAGAGTCACAATAGACTTCTTTCAACACAATGATGTCACATTGTTACCATGGCCACCAAGATCTCCCGACTTAACCCCAATTGAGCACGTGTGGGATATGATGGGTAGGAGATTGCTCAATTTGCAACGTCCTCCTCAGACTCTAGAAGCACTTCGAGAGGAGTTGGTGGTTGCCTGGAATGAGATACCACAGGAAGACATTGACCACCTGATCAGAAGCATGCCTAGGCACGTTGGAGAATGCGTAGCACATCAAGGTCCATCCACACATTATTAAAGGTCAAAGGGCTTTAAAGCAGTGCAATCATTTTGAAATTTTTATCATTTACTTATTATGCTTCATTAAGTACTTATACAAAATTTTATTAAAATAAAACCATTTAAACTGGGTGTTCGGATTTATATGTCACTTAGTATATTATCGATTTGAATTGCATACTCGTGTATCAATACCTCGTATACCTAGCTACACGTCAACATGCTTACTTTTTCTAATCCACAGATCAAGCATGGTTGTTTCATAATATTCATTTCTGGTGGTGTAAATCGAGTAACAACCCATACAGTAAGCGATACCAAAATATATGCCGTTGCTGTGTACAACCAGATTTCAATAGTGAATGGATTTAGGAACTGGAATGGTCCTTGCATATCACGTTCTGAAACCTTAAAATAATCACGAAGTTGACTTCCACATCATATAATCCTTAATTGTTTATACAGGCTGTTTCAAAACTAAGGGATCAAACTTCTAGGGGTTATTCAGTGTAACAGTAGAAAACATTTGAGTACAGGGACCATATCGGGAAAAGTGGCACTACGGCCTTAAGACGAGTTAAAATTTAGAAAGACGATGAATTGCCTAAATAGGATTTAATGCATTTAATTTTTGCCTTTTGTACATGATATCATCACAACAATTGTTCAAAATGTCTTCCTCCAACCTGAATACACCGATTTAAACGTCGCATATGCTAAGTTGAAGTCAATTTATAGCTATAAAAATGTATTGTCCAAGCAGACCAAGGTTAAGCTGTTGACTGCCTTATCCTAAGTAAACTTGAATACGGGGACCTTGTCTATGGTCCATGTCTAATACAAAGCGAGGCATACAGACTTCAAAAAGTGCAAAACAGCTGCATGAGATTCAGTTTAGGTATTCAAAGGCGGGAGAGGGTATCTGATCATATTAAAAATATTCAATGGCTTACTATGCGACAAAGGTGGATACTGCATCTATTCACTGATCAACAGCCAAAAAATATCCTAAATGAAATCAACAAAATATTACTATTTTTAATGTGCTAAAACCGGAATGAAACTAATTTTTTCAATATTAGTTCAAGTTTTAGAGATACGGTAATTATATGTGTCCCTGCTGTGACAGTGTTAATATACTGTAATTCACAAGAATGCACGTGCTACATTTTTATATTCGGCAAGGAAAGATGATGTAATCGGCATGATTGTGTTACGTTATACATACGTGTACATTATATTGTTTTATATTAGCCATTTTTTCCTCAGTTGGCTGACAGCGTTCATGCAAGATGTCTAGAAAGTGTGTAAACAATCCAGATCAGTTTTGTTACGTGTGTGGTGATATGACTTTTGCGTCTCAGAGACGGTCTATTACTCCACTAATAACAAAGGCATATCAGTTTTATTTCGGTTGTAAACTAGGTGATCAAGACAAACAGTGGGCACCCCACATCTGCTGTAATACATGTGCTTCAAGTCTTAGGAGCTGCTTAAATGGCAAAAAACGGTCTATGCGCTTTGCTGTCCCAATGGTTTGGAGAGAGCCTACAAATCATATTATTGATTGTTACTTTTGCATGGTACCTTGTGTTGGACAAGCCACAGGTATGTCCAAGAAAAAAAAATCGGTTATTAACTACCCAAACATAGCATCTGCGATGAGACCTGTGCCTCACAGTGACGAAAATCCTATTCCAAAACCCCCAGAATCCTACACTTGCGAATCAGAAAACGAATCAGATCATGGCGATCGAGTGATTCGTCAGGAAAAAGATATGCCATCAACGTCAAGAGATCCTGATTTTATACCGAGCACGTCATGCCACCAACCGCACAAAATAACACAGTCAGAATTAAATGATCTTGTAAGAGATTTAGAACTTCCAAAATGTAAGGCAGAGTTACTTGGATCAAGACTGCAGCAGTGGCACTTGTTAGAAGACGATGTTTCGGTATGTGTTTTTCGTAAACGCCACAAAGAGAATCATTTTTCAATATGGAGAATAACTTGGTTTTCTGCAGTAACATTAACGGCTTACTGGCGGCTTTAAATATAAACTATAACCCAGAAGAATGGAGATTGTTTATAGACAGTTCAACATTGAGTTTAAAGGCAGTGTTATTGCATATTGGAAATATTTTACCATCTCTTCCTGTAGGGTATGCAGTTCACATGAAAGAATTATATGACAATATGAAGTACCTATTGACATGCATAAAATACGATGAGCACCAATGGCATATTTGTGACGATTTTACTTGGGCTGCAGCTAGGCTACACAAAGTTTTGCTGTTTTTGTGTGAATGGGACAGTCGGGCAAAGGCACTTCATTACACCAGACAAAACTGGCCTGTTCGTCAATTCCTAGAGCCAGGTCAAAAAAATGTACAGCATATGTCATTAGTAGATTCGAAAAAAAATTTATTACCACCACTGCATATCAAGTTGGGCCTAATGAAAAACTTTGTCAGGGCATTAGATAGAGATGGGTCAGCTTTTCAATACCTGCGTCAGAAATTTCCAAGACTAAGTGAGGCAAAGGTTAAAGAAGGTATTTCTGTTGGACCACAGGTATTGAAAAAACTGCTTGGAATGATTTCCGTCTGGTGGTCACAAATTTCTTGGGAAATAGAAAAGCTGACAACTATAAAACCCTTGTCAAAAATATGCTGTCATCGTATCAAAAGATGGGCTGTAATATGTCTCTTAAGATACATTTCCTACACTCACACCTGGACTTTTTTCCTGACGGAGCCGTAAGTGATGAGCACGGCGAACGTGTTCATCAGGATATTTCAACAATGGAAAAAAGGTACCAGGGAAAGTGGAATCCTTCCATGCTTGCAGACTTCTGTTGGACTCTTGGTAGAGATGCTCCAGGAACGATCCATAAAAGAACAGCAAAAAGACAGCGCATATAGTGATTCTTATAAGTATATGAATCTTGTTACTTTTTTTAATATATCCTTAAAAATAAAAAGTTTTTTTTCTAAACCGCAACTAATTTTTTTATTTCATTGTCATTTTTGGATTCAGCGCCCCAAAATTAACAAAGAAGTGCACTTTTCCCACAGGATACAATTAAAAAACTAAAATTTGTTGTCCAATAATTATTGGACATCAACAAGTGGATGCTGATTTTTCGAGCTAAATCATCCTAAGCGATGAAGCACTTTCTAACCTTGACGGCTTTGTTAATTGTGATATTTAGGGTTCGAGGAACCCACGTGTGGTTGTCGAAAATGAAGTGCACCCACCTCGTGTCACTGTTTGATGGGAATTTTGGGCTGGGGTCATCATAGGACCATACTTTTGTGAAAATGAGACTAGTGAAGCAGTAACTGTTGCTGGTTCTTTCTGCCGAAATTGGATGCTGGTGTGTCCAATACGTGGTTTCAACACGACGGTGTCACATGCCATACAGCCATTGGAACAATTCAATTACCGTATGAGACATTCCTGGTCGTGTACTTTCCCGTTTCGGTGACCAGAATTGGCCTCCAAATTGAGTGTATTAGCTACTGACCTTTCGATATAGAGGATAGAGAAGTTGTTGAGTGTGTCTTCAGCCAAAGAAGCTCGATGGTATTCTTTAATAATTTTCAAAGAGCTCCGGACGCGTTCATCACTAGCTGAACCGATAGGCAAAGTCAGCAACAATCTGAATAAAATGCAGCTCTCTGGAAAACTGTCTATAAAATTGTTTGCAATCATGAACATCAAATAATCTAGCGGGCTGTCATTAGTAAAATTACGATTTTCGGAAAAATACGTGCTCGCAAAACTGGCTGATTCATATTTTAGATCTGTATTGAAAAATTCCGAATATTTTTCCATCAAATGTGACGCTGGTTTCTAATTCGTTTTCTTTGAGATTGACTAATTTCTTTGGCATCCAAAAACCAAACACATCATTCACTCCACGAAATCCTGGAGCACGTTCTTGCAATTCGTTACTCATTGAATCCAAAACTCCGTAGTAATTTATTCGATGTTTTTCGTATGTTTCCAGTGGCGAGTCAGCAGCTTTTTCATCGATTTTTTTTTCATTTTCCTCCTTCTGACAATCTCTTCCCACTTATTCTTAGCCATCAGAAAAAAAATATCGTTTGTGCTTTTGAGCCATCATCAAGTCTATTTCTTTCTTTTGCATTTGAACTTGCACAGTATTCATTACGCTCAATACTGAATGTTACCATAACATATTGAGGAAAAAGGTCCAGTTCATTATATCGTCGCCAGAAGCTCCCACTCTTCATCTTCTATGCATTTGATGATACGTTCAAAAAATTCTTTCACGATATTATCATGAAGAAAATATACTAAGTGACATATAAATCCGAACACCCAGTTTAAATGGTTTTACTTTAATAAAATTTTGTATAAGTACTTAATGAAGCATAATAAGTAAATGATAAAAATTTCAAAATGATTGCACTACTTTAAAGCCCTTTGACCTTTAATAATGTGTGGATGCACCCTGATGTGCTACGCATTCTCCAACGCGCCTAGGCATGCTTCTGATCAGGTGGTCAATGTCCTCCTGTGGTATCTCATTCCAGGCAACCACCAACTCCTCTCGAAGTGCTTCTAGAGTCTGAGGAGGACGTTGCAAATTGAGCAATCTCCTACCTATCATATCCCACACGTGCTCAATTGGGGATAAGTCGGGAGATCTTGGTGGCCTTGGTAACAATGTGACATCATTATGTTGAAAGAAGTCTATTGTGACTCTTGCAACATGTGGTCGGGCATTATCTTGTTGGAAAGTTGGATCTGCCAGGGTGTCAAGATAGGGTAAAAGATGGGGTTCTAGAACTTCGTAGATATAACGCTGCGCGTTCATGTTACCTCTGATGAAGATTAAAGGTGACCTGGAACCATAAGCTATAGCACCCCAAACCATAACTCCAACAGTGTGATGAACATGTCTTTCAACAAAAAACTGTGGATTCCTCCTTTCACCACGTCGCCTTCTAACCCTGGCACGACCATCGTGCATGCCTAAACAAAATCGAGACTCGTCACTAAAGACAATACTGTTCCATTCCTGATCCCAGAGTGACCGTTGTCTGCACCACTCAAGGCGATTACGTCGGTGTTCTCGAGTTAAAGGGAGGATCTAGTGTGGCCGGTATGAAAACAAGCCAAAACTTCTCATTCGTCGGTAAACACTTCGCATGCCAATATTTCTTCCGTGTTCTGCAAACCATTCATTTGCAATGGACCTGGTAGTGGAGAAACGGTCCCTTAAGGCCAATAATCTTAGGCGGCGATCTTCACGGTCTGTTGTTCTACGGCGGCGTCCAGTGCCCCTTGCTCTTTGCGTACGGCCTTCTCGAAGCCATGCCTGACAACACCTAACCACCGTGTCTACACTTCTTTTCACTCTAACTGCAATTGT